CAAGAAATGATGTAACTAGGAATCAATCTAACAAAAGAAGCAAAAGACCTCTACACTGAAAACTACAGCGCTCTGAAAAAAGAGATCAAGGAGGATATAAGAAAATGGAACGATCTCCCCTGCTCCTGGGTAGGAAGAATCAACATAGTGAAAATGGCCATACTGCCAAAACTGCTATACAGATTCAATGCAATACCAATTGAAATCCCAACACTATACTTCACAGAACTAGAAAGAAGAATCCAAAAATTCATTTGGAACCATAAGAGACCTAGAATAGCAAAAGCCATCCTAGGCAACAGACACATGGCAGCAGGTATAACAATTGCCAATTTGAAACTATACTACAAAGCCACTGTGATAAAAACAGCATGGTACTGGCAAAGAAACAGACCTGAGGATCAGTGGAACAGACTGGAAGACACAAAAACAACTCCAGATGCACTCAGGTACCTCATCTTTGACAAAGGAGCTGAAAGTCCCCACTGGAGGAAGGATGGCCTCTTTAATAAATGGTGTTGGAAAAGCTGGATCTCAACCTGCTAAAGATTAAAATTAGACCGTTATCTGTCACCATGTACTAAATTAAAATCCAAGTGGATTAAAGATCTAAATATAAAAACAAAAACACTAAACTTGCTGGAAGATAAGTTAGGCAGAACTCTTGAAGACATTGGCATAGGAGAAGACTTTATGAACAAATCCTCAGTAGCACGGGAACTAGCAGAAAGAATCAACAACTGGGATCTCATCTTATTAAAAAGCTTCTGCACTGCAAAAGAAACCATAAACAGAACTAAGAGACAACCTACAATGTGGGAAAAACTTTTTACCAGCTGCTCCTCAGACAAAGGACTATTATCTAAAATATATAAAGAACTCAAAACAATGAGCCCCCCCAAATATAAAGACCCAATTCTAAAATGGGCATCTGAAATGAACAGACATTTCTCAGACAAAGAAATAAAAGCAGCAAGTAAATATATGAAAAAATGCTCCACATCACTGGTCATTTGAGAGATGCAGATGAAAACAACACTGAGATTTCACCTCACCCCACAAAGAATGGCTGCTATCAAGAAATCACACAACAACAAATGTTGGCGCAGTTGTGGGGAGAAAATAACCCTTCTCCATTGTTGGTCGGAGTGCAGATGAGTGCAACCACTATGGAAGTCAATATGGAGATACGTCAAAGAACTAGGATTAGAGGTTCCATTTGACCCAGCCATCCCTCTGTTGGGTATTTTTCCAAAAGAATTAAAAGAATCATACCACAGTGATGTATGTGCACCCATGTTTATAGTGGCACAGTTTGTAATAGCTAAAACTTGGAAACAGCCCATCTGCCCACCAGTTGAAAACTGAATAAAGAAGATGGTTTTTTTTTCTGTAAAATGGAATACTACTCAACCATGAAAAATGAGAAAGTAGATTCATTCATAGGTAAATGGGTATATTTTGAGGATATACTCCTAAATGAAATAAATAAGTCACCCATATGCAAATACCGAATAGTTTCTTTAGTGTGAAAAACTAAAATAGTACTCAAGATCCTAACGGGACAATTAGCAATGTGAAATAGGAAGAAAAGGACCAAAGGTGTAGGGACAGTGAGAAGGATAGGGAAAGGGGAATAAGGGAAAAGGAAAAAAATATGAGAAAATGTAAAAATGGTGAGGGGGGGGACAAGGGGAAACAATGAGAACCAAGACCTGGCATGTAAAGGTACAAGATCCCAGTAATGAATGTAACTGTACTGTCTACCTAGAATGTACCCATAAATTCAATTTAAAATTTAAAAAAATTATTTTTGTAAGATAATGAAATATTCCTCCAAAGCATCAGATGTGTCATCATAGGAAAAATCAGAGCTTTGTTTGACCATTTGATAATTTGATATAGTTCTTGTTTTTAGTTACACAGTGGGGAAAAAAAGGAGAAAAAAAATCATGGAATGATTGCTTTGGTGTCCAAGGTCTCTGTGGTCTAAATGGGGCACGGGCAGAGGCTCCACTCTGCCACCTGCTTGCATCCTCCCTTGCTGGCCACCACTCAGAGGACCCTGGTGCTACCTCCCTGTATGTCTCTAGCCAGCCACATTCAGGCGTCCCGTCTGCATTTCCCCGCGTTGTGAGTCTGTGTGGAAACAGATCTGTGCTGTTTCCTTTGACACTGCCAAGGTTATCTGCTATAAGTACGAGGACCAAGCTGACGGCGAGTTCATGAGTTCGCCATCTTTGTTTCTAACCGGGGAAAAGGACAAGGGTAGTGGGACAGGGATCCACCCTGGGTGGAGGAATGCAGCTTCACTGTCAGTCTCCTTAAAATAAAATATGGCATTGCTTTCTCCTCCCTTTTTACAGTAAAAAAAAAAATGAAGAGATATATATCACGCAAGCCAGGAGCAGAGGTCAATTAGTTTAGAAAGACCATCCCAGGTATCCTGATCTTGTCAGTAGGCTTTAGCCATAGTGTGGGAGTAGAGGCCAGGTAGTTGGTAGAGGAAGAGATGGCCTTGACATCTCGACAGAAGCCCCTGTCTTAGGTTGATCAGTCAGGCGTTGACTGTCTTACCCATCATTGGGGTCAACTGTAGCAAGAGAGGAGAAGTCTCTAGAAGACTTCAAGGATATTCCAAGGCCCTCCAGTAACTGTGACTGTAAGGACTTGGTAATATTCTCTTTTTGGACCTCTCAGATGTCAGGCTTATTTTTGATTTTTGTAAACAATTACAGATATCACATTTTGACTTCGTGGAAGAGTCAGATCACACGGTGCTAGATCCAGTGAATGAGGTGGATGAGGACACAGCATCATGTTTTCATGAGCCTGCCTTTCTGTTGGATGGCGCTCGGCAGCAGCGTTCATTATATTGATCCCACCTTATTAGAAATGGGAAGGAGGATTCCAGAGCTTACATTCTTATAATTATTAATTAATATTATATAATTATATTAATAATTATTA